CAACGACTGGAGTGGGAGAGTCAGAGTCGAAAAGAGGATTCCTCACTTCTTTCTCTCATTCAAAACCGTGCATGAGACTTTCATCTCGCACGGCTCCTAAGCTAAGTGATAAAAGAAAGAAGAACTCTCCTTCCTTTTGCCGCATTTCGCTCAAAGGGTTGAAGGGAGATAGTGCATCAAGCTGTTCGCAAGGGCCAACTTTATCCTCTTCCCCAGGGATCCCAGATGAGGGAACCCTAAGAGAGCCGCTGACTCCAACTACCGTCCATGTACGATCCATACTAGATCTGACCAACTGCCCATCCTACCTCCTCTACGTTCTTGACAGCYCATCTTTGTCTCAGTAGAGTCTTTCAGTGCGTGCGAGTGTCCTATGCGCATGGCAAGRCATACTTGTGCTATAGGTTTCTTACTTGGTTGTACTTCGATGAGACACCGATGTTGGATCTTGATGTCTTCATTTCCTTCTTCTTGTATGGAGCCAATATAGTTTTGCATGTATTTCCATGGTTCCTTAAAGCTTTTTGGCTCGGGATCTTGTGATTGGTCCTATAGTTTTATAACATTCTTCCAATTCTTTAAGTGTATAAAAACTCTATCTCTTATTTATTTTTTTTAATAAAAAATTTGTTCATTCYGTCTTTAGTGTTATTTCTTTATTGATTAGTAATAATGTTTCTTCTTCTAACTTGATATACACAATCATCTTAACTTCACACATCTACATAAACAATATTAAATATTTCAATGGAAAAATAAAATAAATATAAAAACTTACGGATTAACCTCACTTCACATTCTTACCTCCTAAATTTTTAACTATGAACTTTTATATATATAATCTTTTAATTCTAGGAATTCAAGAAAAAAATTAGATAAAACTACAAAAGTTTGTGTAATATATATAGATATATTTTCAATAACGACAACATATTAAAACTACAAACTAAATTTTGTCATCTTCCTTCCATATAATTTATTTATTTTTTATTGTTTTATATATAATTTTTATTTGAATTTTGCAAAGTCTAAAGAAGTCGACAATTTGGAGATTGATTGTCTAGTTTACATTTTTTGTTTAACTTTACTTGTATTATGAATTTCAGACTATTTTGAATATAATAGTGTGTGTATTTATATATAAAAAAAACCTTAAAATATAACGTGSGAAGCATGTCCTAAAATAGTAGTAAATATAAAAAGTATGGATGTAGAATAAATATTTTGTAGACAATATTAACCTTGATTTTTTTTAATAATATCCAAATTATTTTTATTTGAATTTATCGTTCTCTCCCGCCGATCTCTCTTTTACGTGCATCTCGTTCGCTTCCTCACTCATCGCTCCACGTTGCTTCTCATTTATTTAGGTCTTTTTTTCTGTCTTTTCTACTCATGCAACCTTTATTTAGTTTATGTATTAATACATTGGTTTAGTGGTGGGTTATAATTCAATAAATTTATCCATATTCCTCATCCAAGAGAGTAACTTCTAAATTGGAATATGAAAACTTTTGTTCTCTAGTAATTTAATACTTTTTACTAATAATAATTAAAAATAGAATTTCAAAAGATTTGTACCTTTTTCATCATCTATTTATATAAAAAGGCATTTTATACCAACATTCTTCACCAAAATGTTTAGATCTATTTTTTTTCTTTAGTTTTAGTTCTCTCTCAGGATTGGTATTTTCCTTTTCTTGGGAAATTATTGTCCATTCAAATAGAGAAAAATAAAAATTTTTTCTTATTTTTAAATTTTTTTTTTTATAAACTAAGTACGATTTATCAATAAATAGAAAAAAGATTTTCATTTTCTAGGTATGAAATAAAGATATAATTTTGTATTTATTCCTTCTTTCCTTAAAAATATTGCTTTAAAGAAAAAAGTTCATGTTTTTCAATTTAACAACAATTGGTGGTGTTGTTGGAGGATGTATGCTAAAATTAAATCTACGATTTTCTAATTCACATTATCTGATCAACCTATAACATAATATAGAATTTTGAAACATATGTTCTATATACTAAAATAAAAACTAAAAGTCAAAGTAAGTATAACTCAACGATAATTGACATATATCTTCAATTAAGAAGTTGTTAGTTCGATCCCCCACCCCACATGTTATACTAAAAAAAAGAAATAAATAAAAACTAAAAATACCATGTGTTATCAATTTCTTTCACTCAAAATATTACAATATAATAATATTAATTAAGTCGAAATAATGCTCTAAAATGTCTATATCCATTTATTGTTGGTTGTATTTTTGTTGTCAAATGCAAAAATTTTCTAAAAAAATAAATACAACATAAATTATTAACAAATAAGTCTTAACTCACAACATTTTAAAATAAAGCTCGAGCATCTAATATTGAAAATTGGGGCATTTGATTGTAGTAAAGATTTATGATACATGTATAGGGTGTACTTAATGTGTTCGAGCTTGTCCCACAGATGTATTATAAATGATACCTTGGGGCGGATGTAAAGTTAAGCAAATAGCTTSGGCTCCAAAAATAGAAGACTTTGTTGATTGTAAGAGATGTGAAATCCGCCTGTTCTACGGATTTCTTAAGTGTTCGCGTTTATTTATGACATGAAACAACTCGAAGCATGGGTCAAATCACAATAGAGTGCAAGCTGAGTTTCTTCTAAATTTGAATTGATTTTCGTTCATCTTCCAAGTTAATCATAAAGAAAACAATCCCCTATTCCCAATTCCATTCCATTACGTTTTTCTTCCATTTCTCTTTTGCCCCTTTTGATTTCTCATGTGTCTGAGTTCTGAAAGTGGATTCCATTGCATTTTTCTTCCGTTTCTTCGTTGTCCCTTTTGATTTTTTCTGTGTCTGAGTTCCGAAAGTTACAAAATTTATAATCCTTTTTAAGTGTTTATATCTATTTAATTTAGTCTCTCTATTTTGAAGAATTTCAAACTATATTTCTTTGGTTTTAAATGACGGTTTCAATGAATCAACGTAACATATTGTTGCTTGGATTAAYAGATAATGATTGGCAATAATACGTATGGCAATCCGAAGTAAGCTAGTTGGAAAAAATATCTTCGCCCTCGTAAGAGAATTTGATGGAACAAAATACACAATTTGAAATGTATTTCGTCTATCTATTAAATCTTTTGGTCACCCCTACAATTTGAAATAATCTTAACCTATGTTTTAAATATAGCTCAATAGTTTAAACAATTACTCCTCTCTTTCTGTTGAACTCAAAGGTTGAAATACTCCCGCCCAACCTTTGTAGTTATATATAATTTAACAAATATTACTATTATTAATAATGTAAATAGGGCCAAATAGTACAATATTTGGGGCGTTAGCTACTTAGCTTAAGCCTAATTAGGTAGCCGCCGTACCAGTCCAAGAATGAAATATGCTTTAGAGCCATAAAACACAAATGGAAGAGTTCAAACCTCCCAATTTTATTTAATGCAACATGTCCGAAACTGAACATTTCGTTTACGACACCACGAAAACAGACGCATATAATGTCTGTTTTTTATTACCAATATGAAACCGACAGATTTTCTTGTGACCTCGCATTGAAAGTACCTATCAAAATAACACATCACACACTTTGAGAGAGAGAGATTTCTCATGCAATCCACTTAGAGAGAGATTGAGGGATCATTTCTTGTAATCCTCCAAAATCAGATCTCTATGTCTAATACGTTGGAATTCACTCGATCCCACATTGAAAAAAAATGAAAATTACAGAGATTACCTCTCTCATTACCAGTTAGTTTCGAGATAGAACCTATGAATATTAATATAGTATCAAAGTCCAACAATTTCAAACTAGCATTAGATCGTTTAAAATATAAGATCCGATTAAGATTGGTGAGACCAAAAATGCCACCAAAACATCTCGAGGGAACCTTGAGATGGAACTTATATATAATACATGTAACTACTTAAAATCCAATTAGAGAGAGAGAGATTTCTTGTGAATATCCCACAATGTAAACAAAAACACAAGAGGTCAAAMACCGAAATCTCTATTTATAAATAACTTCCACTCTGAATGATGAAACACCACAAAAAAATAAAAAAGAGAGAGAGAGAGAAAGAGAGATGGAGTTTTGTTGCAAGGAGTTCAAGGTTGGAAAATGTGAGGGGCAAAAGGAAGTGGATGGAGAAGTGATGCCATTGGTGCTGCAGCCTCCACACCCAGGCAAGGCAGATTTTGAATCCCTTTTATTTGCTCTCAAAAACAACAGGGACTGGTTCGACCAAATAATCATCAAAAACAGCGCCGTTTTGCTCCGGGGRTACGACGTGTCGAACGCCCACCACTTCAACGACATCGTCGAAGCCTTTGGCTGGGAAGACATCCGATATGTCGGCCCCGCTCCCCGAACCCATATTTATAAGAGGATTTGGACCGCCAATGAAGGGCCCCTCGATGAGTTCATTTACTACCACCATGAGATGGTTTTGGTAACTCTCCTCTCTCATTTCTAGGTTTTTTTTTTTTTCTTTTGGTCTTTTTAGAGTTAAAAAATTGTCTTCTAAATTGAATATGACTATTGCTTCATATTATACTGAAACAAAAAGTTAAACTTTATGCTTCCAAATTTGATACCAAAGTCAGTTTATGTGGTTGAGTAAAAAATTTTSGCATATGATGCTAGTTTAAACATACTTCTCTTTCTCAAAATTTTGTATATCCTTCAAATTTCACCGATAAATCTTTAAATTTTCAATTTTGCTTTCTAAACTTCTTAGTCTCTTCAAACTTCAATTCTACTCTGATCTTTCTTTTGATTTTTAAACTTGACATCCATATATATATAATTAAAGAATGAACCAAGATTTGGAATAGGATATCAATATTAAATAATAATAATAATATTATTATTATTAAAAACAAATTACAGTTTTAAGAATTGATTAAAATTTTAGAAATCTTAGACCAATATTATACATAAATCTAGAAGTTTACTAAATTTATTTCTCTGTCCAATATAATGGAAATAGATAAAGGAATATCCAAAGAGGTTAATGTTGTTCTGCGAAATAGCACCACCAGAAGGTGGAGAAACACCCTTCGTTCCAAGTTTCAAAGTTACAGAGAAAATGTTGGAAGAATTCCCAAAAGAAGTGGAAGAGATGGAGAAGAAGGGCCTAAAATATACCTTCACTGCGCTTAGCAAAAATGATACCTCCTCCATGAGAGGCCGAGGTTGGGAAGATGCTTTCGGTACATCAGATCGTAATGAAGCAGAGAAAAGGTAACCATCTCATCGAAGTAATAGTCTATATATAAGATTTACTGGTTAGCATTCATCTTTAATGGACAACTATTAAATTTTTTACAAATAAAAGGGAGAAATACACACGTATAAAAAGCAACCTCAACTAGAAAAAGGATTCTCTGTTGACTATAAAATAATTAATTAATAATCCACTTCTAAACGTAGTAACAATAATGAAATGTCCATAAATCAGAAGTTACAACCTCTTGGTTGGAGATATATGTCAATTATAGCTGAATTATGCTTGTTTTGACTGTAAACCACATCGACGGTTTTGAGCAACTGTGTTAGAAAATGTTAAAAAAAAACCTTTTAAATTCAAAACTCACCTAGTCTAATTATCTTTTTTGCACAGCCCCTAATATTTGAATTATTTTTTATATTTCATTCATCTTTTATGTAGTTTTTTTCAACTGTCACAAATTATTAAAATCCATTCACTTTTTAAAAAATCAAAGTCAAAATACATTTTATTAATTGATTTGAACCTACTGTATATTTTAATTCGATGAAATAGACACAGTAAAGCACATCGCGCACTTCATAAGATAATATAAGACAAGACATATGGCGTACACTAATTTACTTGATTTGAAATTGCTTCTTGTTATAGAAAGTAGGATAGTACCATACTAACTATGTTAATATTTGCAGGGCTAAGGCATTGGGGATGGATGCAGAGTGGCTACCGAATGGAGCGATGAAGACGATATTGGGGCCGAGGTGCGTAACGAAGGTGTTCGAGGGAAGGAAAGGAAGAAGAATGTGGTTCAACACGATGGTCGGGATGCACGGGAAGGAGCACAGCTCCGCTCTAATGGCGGACGGGACGGAGATCGCAGAGAATGTGGTGAAGAGATGCCAGGAGATAATTGAAGAAGAAAGCATCCAGTTCAAGTGGGAAAAGGGGGATGTTCTCTTTTTTGATAACTTGGCTCTGCTCCATGGAAGAAGGCCTTCTCTCCCTCCCAGAAGAGTCTTAGTTGCAACCTGCAAGTAGTTTCAACTCTACTCCTACTCTGCAAGGCCTCTGTGTGTTTGCTATATGGTTCTATCAATAAAAGACTATGCTTTCTGATGTTATATATATACAATTTACAGGAATTCATAAAGTGATCATTTACTCTGTTTAGAAATGCCGGTTGGTATGTACTCCTTCCCTCGAGATCGAAGGTTCGATCCCCATATCCCAAAATTGTTGTACTAAAAGAAAGCTAAGAAATAATAATGTTAAATAATATTAAATAGTTTGCCCAACTTTTCAATAAGTATCTCTGGAGAAATAATAATGTTAAATATTTTGCCATTATTGGAGGCCACTAAGGAAAATCTGTGGCTACTAGATCATACCTTTTTTCCATTGTCAAGACGTGACAATTTTTTGCCACTAGATCATACACTTTGTTCAAAGACAAGATGTGACAAATKTGAGGCTATTAAAATTTATTTGACAGCCAAAAATATATTTTGAACTATAAATATAGGTGTACACCTTAACAAACCATCCCAAATCCCCAACTCCAAATTAATTATTTTGTGACATAAAAAGTAAAGAAAATTTCTCCTTSCAAGAGGTATTGTTCTTTCTTTCAAGAGAGAAAGTATGTAACACCTAGTTTTATAGTGAAGTTCTTCTATTATTGTCCATGGTTTTTACCTTTGTTTAGGAGTTTTCCTAGATAAAATCAATGTGTCTTATTCTTCCTTTCTCCTTCATTATTACTTCTCAATCTATCGTAGTTGCAATCTACTCTATTCGGTCTCAATCCTCTTCAACAACTAATTTCTCATTTATTTTGTTATCTATCTTTTAAAAACATTCTCAAAATCCAAATCAAATTAGTATAACTAAAAAAAAAGTTTTTAAAAACTTTATTCTCGTTTTTAAAATTACAAGGAATTGAAATATGGTTTCAAGGAAGATGAAAAACATATCATACAATGGGTAAGAAACCAAGATTAATTAAAAGAAAAACATCAAATAGGGCCTAAAGAAGATTCTCGTTCCCAATTTCTACTTTGCAGTTTTAGAATCTCGTTCCCAATTTCTACTTTGCAGTTTTAGAATTTCTACTTTGCAGTTTTTTAAAAATATGTGTTTGATAATTATTTCTTTTTGTTTCTTATTTCTATTTTTAAGAAACAATCCCAAACTTTGTATACATATTTCAAAACAACAAAATCTAGTTTTTCATTTCTAGATCCTCCTTTTCAGTTTTTCAAACAATACCATTTTGGTCCCTTTTGGTCCCCGAGTTTTCACATATAGATCACTTTGGCCAGTGTGTTTCAAAATCGTGCAATTTTTTAATCGTGCAACTTTTGTCCCTGGTTTTCCAAAATAAGTTTAGATGGTTCAATTAATGCCTCTGTTCGGTATCTCACGAAAAARATGTTTGGGCTGAGGTGGCATGTCTGAGTTGGAAAATATCTTTTGTTTGGTGTGGATATTCATCCAGCGGCCACTAAGCATTAGCCCCTCATTGCAAGGTCGAATAAAATAGAAACGTGATTAAATCGTAACGCGTCCATGTGGAATATAGCATCACACTACTAATACACACGTGATCATTGAGCGTTATTGGCCATTGCATAGCAAGATCGAATAACTTAACAATGCGATCATAAACCCAAAAAATGCGTCCACATGGAAGATAAGATTGCATGTTGGTCTTCATGCGATCATTTATGTGATGCCTCTTCTAAAACACGATCATAACCCTATCATGGTGCTAGCTAGTCCTAAAATTGTGTACGGCATACGACATTACAACATACGTAAAGACAATAGTGTTGCATAACTTCGATTGTGTGCCCATTTTCAATTTGTTCACCTTTTGCCTACACCGTTTACACTTTTGATCAAAACCAAAGTTTTCGGAAGAGAGAAAATCTGTCATCTTCAATCGCATACTTGTTACAGTTATTCATCGTGTGCCATTTCTCTAGTCCATCGAATCGGGTTTTGTTATAACGTTTACATACAATTTACTAGGGAGCAAATGCGATTGAATGGATGAGTGTTTAGTAAAAACTCAAACATAACATGATTTAATGGAGTAGAACACAAAAGAAGCAACTRGAATAACTACGCAATTGAATGAAGAACCAGAGCAGATCTAGCCGCCAAGCATAGTGGAAGCTAGCACGGTTAACTAGTTAAAGTAGATCTCGATGAGCCTTTTAATTAAAAGAGAAAAATCTTTTAAAAAACAAAGAGGTATTGAAGCCCCTTCCTTCGAAATGACAAAGGCAACCTAGATGTATGGATGAATTTCATTGTATCTTCCAAACTATCCTCGATCAACAACAAATTGGTGGGTGGGCATCTTTGAAGGAGTAAAGTAGGAACTCCCTCTTCCTTTGATAACTACTAGGTAGGAGAGGGTCAGAGTCTTTGAATTTCTCAAAGAATGTGGCTTTTTGGATTGTTCTAATGTTTTGGCCTATAAATCTCACATTGACCCAAAACTCTAAAGACTCTCTTTTAATTTCGATTTTTAAATTCCTTAATTACTTTTCTTGACTCACATCTCATAGGTCTGGTTATGGGTCCATTGACTTTCATGGGACCGTAAGCCTAGTTGTATATCATTGGGTTTCCAAAATGTAATGGATCATTTCCTCTCTAATTAGGCTAAAGATGACTCAATTATCCAGCTAACTTTTGTTAATTCACTCATTTTACATTAAATTACTAATAAAATAATTTATTATTAAAAAGCAAATTAAACCATTTAATTCAAAATTAAATAATCAGCAATATCTAATTTTCTCTTAACGAAGGATTCATGGCAGAGGTCAACGAGTTAGTAAGGGAACTTTGACCTAGTAAGAGAACTTTATGAACCTACAGGTTTGAGCTCTAATGATTGAGAATTCATCGATTAAACTTTTTATATAGTTAACCAAATTTTTACCAAGGGTTGCACACTCATATGTTATACRTGAGTCGTTATGCCTACTGATATAACATAACCGTTCAAATAATCCTTCACAAAGTGATTCATCGTCCCAGTTGAATGATATTACTATTTTGTCCCAAGTATCATTTTTTGCTCCTAAGTCCCACTGGTTCTCTAATATTGAGCTTTCTGTTATCTCATCATGAGAAAATTCTTCTTAAATTATAAAAAAGGTGGGTATCCTATTATCCAGGCTTCCAACCATCATTTTAAGGAAATCACTTATATAATATTAATAAGGAGAAGTGCACACTCTACACTCTCCAAACAGGTTGTGAATTTTATTGTGTAGGATGTTTTTAGCTCCCTACTATCCATGTGAATAAAAAAATACACCCGTTAAGCTAGAATTCGATAGGCTGCATTTTCTTTTGTTAATAGGATAATTTCTTTTGTTAATTGGTTAGGTTGATCCGAGTTGTGTATAGGAAGGATTTAGTTGAAATTTCTATTGTTTTGCATAGGTTTGCTTTAATTGGATAATTAGTTTGCTTTTGTTGGATAAGTAGTTTCAGCTGTTTTATTTTATCTGTTTGACATTRATCTGTTTTGATTAAACAGGAAAATTACGTATGGAATGTCTATGGGGGACAAGTTATTATTTTACTTTAGTTGAGCAGTTGGTTTAGATGTGTTCTTCAGGTTTTGTTAATAGTCTTTATGCCATGGAAACAAGGCTTAAAGCATGTAGATTGAGTAATATTATTCCCCATGTAAGTAGTCGGGCGTTACAAAAAGGATCTTTAAAAATGAATGATTATTTGCATTTAATGAAGTCTTATGCAGATAATCTTGGCTGAGCAGGAAGTCATGTATCAACAAGATCCTTAATATCCCAAGTGTTGTTGGGATTAAATAAAGAATAAAATCCAATTGTAGCTATGATTCAAGGGCGTATCGACATATCGTGGTTAGAAATTCAAGCTAAACTACTGGTTTTCGAAAAGAGGTTAGAGATGCAGAACACACAGAAAAATGTTATATCATTCAACAACTTTGTGAATATGGCAAACAGTAGCCAATGAAAAAATAGTGAAGGACGAAACAACCGGCTATCAAAATAACCCTCACCATTATAATAACAGTTACAGAGACGGTGGAGGACAAAATCGAGGTCAAGGTTGTTGGAACAATAACAGCAACAAGCAACCTATTTGTCAAGTCTGCATTAAGATTGGTCACTCTAAGTTAGTTTGCTATCATCACTTTGACAAACAGTTCGTTATTCTCGTGTCAAGCCAGAGCAAGGGTGTCAACACAAACCCTCAAAATCATCACAATGTTGGAGGTAATGTAAATCAAAACACACCTCATGTGTTTGCAACAACAAAGAGTGCTAATCCGTTTGTTGCAAGTTCTGAAACCGTAACTGATCCCAAATGGTATGTGGACAATGGAGCCTCAAGTCATGCGATACCATATTACAACAACATAGTTCATTTTTCAGAGTATGGAGGTATGGAAAAAGTCATAGTAGGTAATGGTGATAAGCTGGAAATTTCTCATATTGGCAAACCTCACTTAACTATTGATTATGGATTGCCTACACTAGAGAATGTCTTATTTGTGCCTGAAATAGCTAAAAGTTTTGTGAGTTTTTCCAAGCTTGGTAAAGACAATAATGTTTATATCGAATTTCATGCTGATACTTATCTTGTAAAGGACATGTGTTCGAGAAAATTTTTGCTGTAAGGGGACCTTAGCGATGGACTATATTGACTAAATAATATGGGAGGTCTCATTGGCAGTGCTTCAAGTTCAACACAGGAAAACTTGGAGTCGACAAAAAGTAATGTTGTTTGTTCTGTGTTCTCTGTGTTCTCTTCACCTACTGTAGCTTCCAATATAAACCTTGTAGTGTCCAAGGAAATTTGATATAGGAGACTTTGGACATCATTCTTTTAAATTACTTCACGATATACTTAAAAATTGTAATCTACCAGTGAAAATGAGTGACAATCTCAGTTTTTTGAAGCTTGCAAATATGGAAAGTCACATGCTCTTCCGTTTCCTATTTATAATTCGAGAGTCGTTGAACCATTTATGTTATTCACACTGATTTGTGGAGTCCAGCTTCAGTGTTGTCTAATGAAGGATTAATTCAATGTTATATACATTTYCTTGATGACTTTAGCGCTTCGTGTGGATTTATCCGTTGAAACAGAAAAATGATACTTTTGCTACCTTCAATCACTTTATTAATATGGTCAAAACACAATTTGGGACTCATATAAAGACACTACAGCCAGATAATGGATGAGAGTACAAAAGTATCCATC